ACATTATCTAAAAAATGTGAAAGCACAAAGACATATTGTTTTCCATAGAGACAGTCTGGATAAAACAGCTCTTAAATATAAATTACCCCCAAACCACCTTACTTTAAATTACAAAATTATGGAATCATGGATATGCTTGATAAGTTGATTATTGAACTTGGAAGGTGGTATACTCAACGCATTTCGCCAAGTTTCTTCAGGGGTTCACATTTGGGGGGAGAGAAGAGCAATATGCTGATGACTGTCCATCCAAATGTGGATGAACCACAGGGAGGGGAGCCAGGAGGAGAGGAGAGGGAAGTTGCAGGCACCCAGTCTAGACACCACCAGCATGCCAGGTAGTGATTCCCATAGGAAAGGGGGAAGAAGGGGAGGAAAGGATCGACTGATCATTTGTGGGTGCCTTCCTGCAAAAATGGAAACAAGAAAGTCATCCATGCATTCAATAAAATGAAAAACAGCCCTCACAGATGCAATGATTAGAAGGGTTAGATATTGTTAGATAAGTGATCTCCTGCGACAAGATGATAGGCACAAACCCCTGGCACCTGTGGTCACTCAAGCAACCTTCTTTCAGAAGGGTATAGGTATAAAACAACCCAGATACTTTGGTCCTATGATGTCTCCCATATCATGCTATGTTTATCAGGAGCAACAACGCAATTAAAACACAGTTAATTTATTCAGAGTCTGATTTTTCACTTAGTAAAGTGACCAGCAATTTGTATTGTTTTAAAATCCTTTAGACATAATCATGGCACAATATACTTTTGTCCATTATCATCAATGTCCATTATCATTGATGTCTCTAATATGACCCTTCTCACTTTGCTTCAGACATTATCGATTTTTGTGGTTCCAAACAATACGCAGTAATTTTGAATCAATATACATCAACAAGGAAGGCAGGCACATAATAATACTGATAAATAAATATAAACAACATTGTTCTTCTGATCTGAATTGAAATATGAGTCCTATTTGTTATTGGTGATTGCTGTACAACCGTAAGAAGGTGAAATATTAAAGTGAAACTTCAATACAGAAATAAAACCAGATGATTATTGTGTACATATACAATTTACTTTGGTACAAAATGTATTTTGGGATTATTTGAATTTTTTTTGTTAATAAGAATCTGTGTGTATAGTCTTGTCTGATCTTGTATTATCTGGACCCAACATGAAGCTCTTGCTTGAGGCATCTGCATTTGTGCTGTGTACAAGCACACCTGGGAACTTATAGGAACTTGACCTGGCAATTTTGGCTATTTCAAGTGAATATCAGGTCATTGCCAGAAACATTGAGATATCTGCACTGTAAGTGTCACTGAATGTTGGATAGATGGGAGCCAAGTGCACTGTCAGTGTCACTGAAATGGTATGTAAGTGGCAGCTAGGTGCACTGTAAAGCCTAGTACACACTATGAAAAAATTGAACGAACAATCATCCAATTTTCCACGAAAATGCATATCATGATGTAGTTGGAATGATATTGACTTGTAAGAAAATTATTGTCCGGCAAAGGCAAATGTAGCTATGTACTAGCATAGTAGAAGAGAATGTGTAGGGTCGTTTTTTCTTCTGATCATGCATGTTTTTTCTATTTCAATAATTTCCATAAAATTGGATGTTGTGTTCACCTACAATAAAACATTTCTAGCTTGCACCCTTAGTTTCTGTTCTGTCATCTGAAAAGTCAGAATTGGCTGTTGAAATCTCTATAATCAAATAATCGGCTGATTGTTCCTCGCAAGGAAGTTTTCACACAATTTTCTTATCATGTGAATGGGTCATAAGTGTCATAGAAATGGTGGATAGCTAGGAAAGGTGTGTTATTTTAATATTTATCTGTATTTCATTGTAGACTCTAGACTAATCTGTTAAGTCTATATAGACCTAAACTTTCAGCCCCCCACTTTTAAGCACATTTTGGCCATACCCACCACTAGCACCCCTACCCCGCCCCCTACCTTGCTCATAATGTCAAGAATTACTATTTTCCAAAATTCCAGAGTATGGATATATGTTTAAAATAATGGCTGCCAAATTATATGAAAACATGAAAAAAATAAAGTCATCAGTAAGGGAAATAAGCATAAGGAGGTAAGGGGGAATTGTATAGAAAGATAACTGAACAATGAAGAATGCAGTTGCAGTGTATCACACACAATGCAAATAACTCATATTTAACTTTATGGGTTTTCTGAACAAACTGTAAATCCCATCTGTGTCCACATTCCCCCTCCTGTAGATGTGAGGATTTTTAGAACAAGAAAATAATTTTGGTTAAATCTGCAGTATTATTATTATTATTATTATTATTATACAGGATTTATATAGTGCCAACAGTTTGCTCAGCGCTTTACAATATAACGGGAGACAATACAGCAACAATGCAGTTCAATACAAGAGAGATAGGAGGGCCCTGCTCCTTGGAGCTTACAATCTAGGAGAACCACCTTTAGGTTGTCTTGGAAATCATCTTTAAGAGTCCATTTCTGGCAACAAGTGAAACCAATCAATGAACCATTCCATTGTGTATTGGAATGTTCCTTAATCTAAGTTTTCTCTTTTTTTTTAATTCACTGCAGCACACAGAGACAACTCTACAGGGTCAGTAGAAGGGCTGATAGAGTGTACTTTCTGAAGCTTGTGCCATCTAACTGTCTTTCTCTCTCTGATTTTCTCCCTCTCTCACACTCTCTGCCTCCTGCATCACCAATCACATTCAAACTTACTAGGACTGATTTATAACAATAAATGTGGCCTAATATGGCCACATTGAGTCATTGCCATGGAACTAATATGGCCACACACCTGTTGCCTATTTCAATGTGTGGTATCTCAAAGTGGGTGTATTTTAGTTACTACTTTGATACATTGAAAAGGAATATGTTAATGTGCAGTTTTTCAGAACCCTCAACGCAGACCTGTGAGTTCACCAATGTACAAACACGTTTGGAACTTAAATAATAGTTAGCTTAGCTAGATAAGGAAAAGTGAACTGTCACATTTGCTGATGTTTAAATGCCAAAACTGTGATTGCATTTTAATAATTTAAATTGCTGTGCTAATTGTACTAACCATTTTTCTTATTAGCAGCATGCAGTCTAAGAAAAGCTGCACATTATTTACAACTGTCTGTCTCACTGTGTACCAAGATTTTCCAGATTGTCACCAGTTTGAGGTAGGAGCTGTATCCCCTTACTTATCAAATGCTAAACCTACAGATGTGCTACATAAATTATACATGCTCTGTGAAAAAATATTGGCCTTATTTATCAGTGTATTATATCACTGCTATAGAGCAACAAACACAATTCATATTTGGGATACCTTGATAAATAAGTCCCACCTTATCTTTTCTGTAAAAAATTTGATTGACACTTGTCTGTCTAACTGATTTTCACACGCATGTTTGTCATTTGCAGGTTGGTCAACTATCTTCAGCACAGTTGTCTGCTGAGTTGTTGGTTCAAGTCAGGTATCTGTTTGGCATCTTTTTGTCCAGCTAGGAAATAGTTTTTTTTATTGGATTAAACTCTCTACACATTTGCACTCCATCCTCACCAATTCAGCTTTTATCACATGAAAATATCTCACTGATCCCTTTTCTAATAGGCTTTAAGCTAAATTGCTTAAATGGGTCTGTATGAATTTCATTCTATGAAATATCATTCACACTAACTTACAATAGGCCCAATATGTATACATACTGCATGAATCTGAAAAATTAGTCTGCTCCTCAGCTACATGGCATTGCAAAGGTTTTGCAACATAGTTGCTTCTTGCCCTTGACATTGAACTATAATTTCCTTCTACAAACCAGGTCTCTGCTAATGACGTTGTAATTGTGCAAGTATTATAATGGGTTTTCAAAGCAGGAAAACCCATTCATGGGCTTTGAGAGCAGAACCTGAAACAAATTATTTTGTTATCTTGAAAACTGGTGTATCCTGTGTGTCATTGGTGGCAGATTCTCTAGGGAGTGACAATTTGCCTTCTGCCCTTTAAACAGGGTGGGACTTGACTTTATGTCAGTTCTTAGTTTGCAATCCTCAATATCATCCCATTCATGACAGCTAAGAACAGGTGCCAAGTAATTAGTTACAGTAAGTATTAAATTGTAATACAAAGTAACAGTCAAGTATTGCCCAGAGGTCAAAGAATGATGCAGACAGGCATAGTCAAGAAGCCAGGCAAATCAGGGCATGAGCCAAACAGACCACAATGGCCAATGGAATACTTCGGGGGGAGGGGGATCTGATCTTGGTGCAGCCATGTTAGCTGTCTTTAGTACTCCCTCCTCACCAGATGTACAATGCAGTCTTACCTGCGGCTTTGCAGTACCATCCTGTCAACTCTGTCAGACCTCAGATACAGAGGTGGAACAAAGTTGAGGAAGCTCTAATAAGTTCCTCCTTGGCTCTGATATGTCACAGGACACAGCTGAGAGGATGTTTTGTAGGACTTCCTTCAGTTAGCTGGGCACAGCTGTGTCTAAGGTCTGGTAAGAATTTTAATGGAAGCAGGAGGTGTTCTGAGGAAAAGAGGAGTTGCAGGTGAAGTTTTTGCTGGGGGATGAGGAGTTTTCTGAGGGAGGGGGGTCTCACTAAGGGTGATAGTAGTTTTGCTTGGGGAGGGGAAGTCATTGTTGGTCCTACAGTGTTACAATTGCCTGTTTTGTTGTCTGCATGCTGTCATAATTGTTTGTATATTGTGACAATTGCACTGCTATTAAACTTTTATTTTTATCTTCCTATTATTAGTATTCGCCTAATTTCATGATTACTATGGAAAATAATTTTGATGTATACAGTGGAGTGTGTGAGTTAAATTAACGCTCTTTGGGTATAAACTATGCTAGGACCCCCACTGACTAACCAATATCTAAGTAGTTATCTGATCTGGGGGTGTGCAGTGCGGCGCTCGGTGGTGCGCTGTGTCCCTCAGACACAGCGGATCACCGATCAATGGAAAGAACCGAAGAAGTCGGCTCGGTCATGTGATCAGCTGTGTCCAATCACAGCTGGTTGCATGTAAATAGGGAAATGCCGGTTATTAGCATTTCTCTCCTCATGAGCTGTCACGCTGACAGCTTGTGAGGAGAAGAGAGCCGGTAATTGGCATTCCTCAGAGGGGACATGTACACTGATCGTCAGGGCACCGATGATCAGTGTGTCCTGCTTATCAGTGTAGCCCCAGCAGTGCCACCTGTCAGTGTCCATCAATACCAGCTGTCAGCGCTCATCATTGCCAGCTGTCAGTGCTCATCAATGCCATCTGTCAGTGCCCATCAGTGCCACATATCAGTGCCCACCAGTCCACATGAATGCAACATATCAGTGCCCATCTGAGCTGCCTTTCAGTGTCACCTATCAGTGTCAGTCAGTGCCACCTATCAATGCCAGTTAGTGCCACCTATCAGTGCTGCCAATCAGTGCCATCTATCAGTGCCATTCAGTGACAGTCAATGCCACCTATCAGTGCCAGTCAATGCTACCTATCAGTGCCCGTTAGTGCTGCCTATCAGTCCTGCTTAACAGTGCCAGTCAGTGCTGCCTATCAGTGCCAGTCAGTGCCGCCTATCAGTGCTACCTATCAGTGCCATATATGAGTGCTGCCTTTCAGTGCCCATCAGTGATGCTTGTCAATGCCTCCTCATCAGTGCCACCTATCAGTGCAGCCTGTCAGTGCCCATCATTGCAGCCTCATTAGCGCACATCAATGAAGGAGAAAAATCACTTATTTACAAAATGTTATAACAAAAACTAGGAAGAAACTTTATTTTTCAAAATTTTCAGTTGTTTTTGGTTTGTTTAGCAAAAAAATAAGAAAAACCAGAGGTGATTAAATACCACCAAAATAAAGCTCTATCTGTCTAAAAAAATGATAAAAATTTCATATGGGTACAGTGTTGCATGACCATGCAATTGTCACTCAAAGTGTGACAGCGCTGAAAGCTGCAAATTGGCCTGGGCAGGAAGGGGGTAGAAGTTGAGTTTAAGATAATCTCACAGGTGGCTGCAGTTTGCCTTTGCTGCAGTGACATTCCTGCCAGAAGGTGGAGTAGGCACATACCTTGGAGCAGTGCTCTCAATGAGATGGGGAGACAAGTTTTGGTTGTTGAACATAGCCTGAATTGTTACCGGATTGTTACACTAATGAATATTACAAGACTACGCAAATACTCACCTTCGATAAATAAAAACACGAAAACAGAATGTCTACATTCTACAATTACTTGTATGTTGTGCTAATAAGTGAACAACTTTCAAAAGATTATTATGTGTTTGTAATATACAAAGACTTTCTAGTAATTTCATGAATTCATTATTTTCATGAATTGTGCTGGATGTTAAAGTACAAATTATAAAGATTTAATTAATCTAATATCCAAGAATTGTAATCCACTCACTTATTTAGATAATTGGATATTTGCTATTTGTAAAGTAATCAGAGAAAATTATATTTACGATCACTATGACATTGCTTCCTCTTAAAATAATTACTTCATTTGACAAATTAAATAAATATGTATACAATATGAGAACCTTTAGGCTTGTATTTACAAGTTTGTTTAGGTATCATGCTTTTCTAGGTAACACCTGAATGGTGCCCTTTTGTACAAGCTATGTCCCATGTATCATCTCATACCCAAGAATTTTAATCCACCCTATTATTTAGATAATTGGATATTTGTTATTTAAGAAGTAATCAGAAAAAATTATATATACTATCACAACATTGCTGCCTCTTAAAATAATTCCTTAATTTGAAAAATTAAATAAATACCTTTATACTATGGGAAACCTTGAAGCTTTTATTTATGGCTGTGTTTAGGTATCATGCTACCCTAGGTACACATGAATGGTGCCCTTTTGTACAAACTATGTCCCATGAGTCATGAAATATTTAATCTTTTCATGTCCTTCGGTAAGCAAAATCTTCATGACTAAACAAAAATCTTAAGGTTTGGTATGCTGTGGTTTACTCAGCAAATAACTTTTTAACCATCTTGCTTACTGAGATTTTTTTCACACCTTATTTTAGCACACATTCATTCCTAAAGTAGCAGTTTACCCTGAATATATACTGTATGCTACAATATGCAGAAATAAACAAAACATGCAGTTTTACTTTGTTTAATGCATAATATATTTTGAATAACTAATACTATTCTATTTTCACAAAAACTTTTTTAAGTATATATCCAAAGTACAGAGACTCTATTCACTGACTGACTTGGAACATGCATGCAGAGATCAGGGGCTTATTTAAAAAATTCCCCAAACACTGTATGTATATATGCTATAGTGCCAAAAGTCATGGGACACCCCTATAAATCATTTGATTCAGGTGTTCCAATCACCTCCATGGGCACAGGTGTATAAAATCAAGCACCTAGACATGCAGACTTTCATTTATGTAACACTGGGTTGCTCTCTGGAGCTCAGTGAATTCAAGCGTGGTGTAGCAATCGTGCTCACAGATATGGACGCGGACAACCATGTTGCTAAGATGCACCATCTTGTGTCATTCTCACTCCAAATCAGCCCCCCTCCCTTTTTGTTGTATGGCATGTGGTCTGTGTGTGTGCTGAGTTAAGGAGTGCATCAGGCACAGCTGGATACACTTCATGGTTGTAAACCCAATTAGCTGGTTCCCGGGTGTCTGACAGACTCTTGCTCTGGCCGGATCATAAAGCTATAAACCCGTCAGTCACTGGACTTGAAAAGCATTCCAAAATAGCAGTAAAACATACATCCCACTTGAAAACCACTTTGTCATGCAATTTCATAACTCCCGGAAGGAAATAGGCACAATAGAAGAAAGCATATATTCAGATAGGTCAGTTTAATGCGAGTCACCTGATACCTGACATCCCTACGTCTACCCGAGAGTAGGAAGCGATATCTCTTTAACCGTCACAGGCAGATAAGTCATATCTGGTGTCTGAACGTTCACAATATGATTCTGCATATTATTCTACCAGTGGATAGGATGCTACATGTACCTATGGAAGGTTATTGACCATGGTGTGGACTTGTGAGGGATTTGGGTCACAGCCGGGGTGTCCGCCCAAAACTCCTCCCCAAATGAGGCAATTGGCCCTTGGCTTCAGTAGATAACCCCTACTGGGGGACTAGAAAACAGGCTGTCAGGCCTGAGAGAGGTAAGATGAAGAGATTCTCCCTTTTTAACATCAGGAACCAAATTTGGGAGAAACGGTACTCTTTTGTTCAGGACACTTGAATCTGCTTAAAACAAGGACTCTGGCAAGTATTCTACCTCTCTAAATTTCTTTCTGTTATCTCTCTGTTGTGTTATTGCTCGCTGTATTATATATATATATTGGCTACATCTTTTTATGTAAATATTTTCATTGCACCATTTGACCTTTTTAGTAATAAATCCTATTTTCTGAAAAGTGTTGAACTGTTTCTAAAGCTCTTTAATGCAAACTAAGTATCCCTGTCTCTGAAGAGTGCTACTGTGTGTTTTAAACTTCTGCATACATCTGCCTGCGGTGACAGTGTGTATACAGGCGCTTATTCAAACATCATAGTGTTACCGCTAAGATTTGTGAGTTTCCTCCTTCTCTGTACAAAAAGGTGGTGGTGGCAGTGTGAAGGGTTAATTGCGTAATTAACCTGACCCAGTAACAATCACTCTCAGGCTGCGGCACATAGATTGCGGTCCAGTGAGCTCTTTGTGCAGGGTGCAGCTAGCGTGGCATTGTTACACAAGTGGCAGCGCAGTTTTAGATTGGCTAGTCCTTCGGTCACAAGTTGGTGAGAAGGCCTGGGGTCTGATGCCGTGCCCATCACACGTGGTACCGTGATATGTTGCCACCTGTGCAATATTCCATCTTTGAAATTTCCTTGCTACTAAATATTCCACGGTCAACTGTTAGTGGTATTATAACAAAGTGGATGCAACTGGGAACAACACCAACTCAGCCACAAAGTGGTAGGCCACATAAAATGACAGAGCAGGGTCAGTGCATGCTGAAGCGCCAACTGTCTGCAGAGTCAATAGCTAAAGACCTCCAAACTTCACGTGGCCTTCAGATTAAAACAACAGTGCATAGAAAGCTTCATGGCAGGGGCGGACTGACCACTCATGGGGCCCCCGGGCAATAGGGGATCATGGGGCCCCTGTGTCCTTGCCCAAACTCAAGCCTATGAAAAAAAGGTACCAGGGGCATCTCATGGGACCCCCTACTGACCCCGGGCCCTCGGGCAGTGCCCAAGATTCCAAATGGTCAGTCCGCCCCTGCTTCATGGAATGGGTTTCCATGGCCGAGCAGCTGCATCCAAGCCTTACATCAACAAGCGCAATGCAAAAAGTTGGATGCAGTGGTGTGAAACACGCAGCCACTGAACAAGTTCTCTGGAGTGATGAATCACGCTTCTCAGTCTGGCAATCACATGGACGTGTCTGGATTTGGCGGTTGCCAAAATAACAGTACTTGCCTGACTGCATTGTGCCAAGGGTAAAGTTTGGTGGAGGGGGGATTATGGTGTTGGGTTGTTTATCAGGGGTTGGGCTTGACCCCTTAGTTCCAGTGAAGGGAACTCTTAAGGCATCAGCATACCAAGACATTTTGGACAATTTCATGATCCCAACTTTGTGGGAACAGTTTGGTCCTTTCCTGTTCTATATGGTATATGGTCCTTTCCTGTTCCAACATGACTGCACACCAGTGCACAAAGCAAGGTCCATAAAAACATGGATGAGCAAGTTTGGGGTGGACTAACTTGACTGGCTTGCACAGAGTCCTGACCTCCTAACCTGATAGAACACTTTTGGGATGAATTAGAGCGGAGACTGTGAGCCAGGCCTTCTCGTCCGACATTAGTGCCTGACCTCACATATGCGCTTCTGGAAAAATGGTCAAACATTCCCATAGACACACTCCTAAACCTTGTCGTCCTTGACCTTTTGACCACACAACTACCACTCACAGTATATTTTCTCTTTTTTGGACCATTCTCTGTAAACCATAGATATGGTTGTGTGTAAAAATCCCACCATGTTCACTTAAATTCCTTTTCTTACCCATTCTGATGCTCGGTTTGAATTTTCATCTTCACCACGTCTACATATCTAAATGCATTGAGTTGCTGCCATGTGATTGACTATCAAGCAATTGAACAGGTGTACCTAATAAAGTGGCCAGGGAGTGTTTAATTGGGGGTATAAACTGTGTGTATATATATATATATATATATATATATATATATATAGTGCTCAGCATAAATGAGTACACCTTAACAGATTTGTCAGAAAACCTTTGCTTTCAGAATCACCATTTTCTATGGGACACTATACTACAAAATACCACAAATGCAAAAATGATTTGTTAATTTGCACACAC